CTTCCAGCTGGCTTTAGAGCCGTGTGTATGAAAACGTCCTTTGTCTAGTAGATGTTGCAATATAAGACTCCTGGTCAGGAGAAGGCAATGACAAACCTCCTCTGAACAAATGTTGCCATGAAAACCCCATGATAGGTTGGCCTTAGGGTCACCATAAGTTGGAAACAGCTTGAAGGTACATAACAACAACAACAACAACAACAATGTAAGACCACTGCTCCATAGTAGAGCCAGTGTGGCACAGTGGTTTGAGTGTTGGATTGCAACTCAGGAGACCAGGGTTTGATTCCCCATTCGGCCATGAAACCTACTGGCTGACCTTGGCCAAATCACATGCTCTCAGCCTCAGGGGAAAGACAATGGCAAACCCTCTTTGAACAAATCTTGGCAAGAAAGCCTCATGATAGGTTTGCCTTAGGGTCACCACAAGTTGGAAGTGACTTCAAAGCACACAACACACACCCTGAAACCCTGGGAAGTATAGCAAATGACAAAAAATGCTGGGAGGACCAGATTATTCACACACCTACTTTAGTTTGCCCTTCTGTGTTGCCACACTTGGAGATTCTTGCTGTTGGTCACTTGGTTCTTGAATTTTAGTTCTACTTAGGGGTGGAGGAATAAAGACTCGTCTACTTCTTAGTTCTTAAAATGAAAGGTGTCCAGGCTCAAGCTTTAGTAATTATCTCTTGAACTGACCTGCAGGTCATTTCACATAAGCCCTCAGGGTCTATCAGGGACCTATGAAGGTCTTTCTACTTTCAGTTAGTCCCAGATATTGACTTTAATTTTGACTGACTGGGTGGTACATTTCTGTACATTGTTTTATTTTGTTGAATTATTTCACATTGTTTAAATCATTTTATTATTATGTTAGGATTGTTTATGTCCACACTTGCCTTCAGATCTCTAGATACAAGAGGAGGAAGAAAGAAAGAAAGAGCTATTGTTGCTGTATGCCTTTCAGTAGTTTCCAATATATGGTGTCTCTAAGATGAACCAAGCAAGACTGATTAAGAGGGGGTTTGCTATTGTCTTCCTCTGAAGCTGAGAGAATGTGACTTGCCCAAGGTTACCCAATAGGTTTCTATGGCCAAATGAGGAATTCAAAACCTGGTCTCCCTGTATCCTAGTTAACACTCAAACCATTACAGAACACTTGCTCTTTTAGCAGAGTATGCCCCAGCTGTTTTGAACTCTTTGATTTGTTTCACAATGGCTAAGTAATAATACCCAGAGGCATAGCTGCAGAGGACCTAAATGAGAGAATTGTCACCCTAATAAGAATTTTGCTCCCTTCAGACCCTGAATTTCTAGCATTGCAAAGAGAGAGACAGTGAAATTTATTTGCACTTAGAACTCTTACATGTGCTGTGTTCTCATTCCCTTGTTAACTGCCTACCACTTTTCTTTAGATGTCTAAACTGTAAATGCTCAAATGAATTTTTAAGTTACTACAATGCTAGAATTTTTGGGGAATGAAGGAAAATTTCATTAGGGGGTAGAATTTGCCCCCATGATATTCATACCACCTGAGAATTGGGGGTGGGGAACCACAGTGAAGCTCTGCAGGGGTGTCACTAGGAGGTGTGAGAATTGAGTGCCACACCAGATGATACCAATATGGGGGGCACCAAGCCAGCCCCAGGCGCAGAATGAAAGACACAGAGGCAAAGGAGGCAAAGTGAAGCAAGGCAGGCCCAGGTCGGCAACAGTGGTGATGATGCAAGATGAACCAGATGGAAGTGGGGTCCTCATGCCTCCTTTCTTCTCTCAAAGCTGGAAATGCGACCTCTCTTGAGGATTGGCCCCCAAGGCTGCCAGGGAGATGATGAAGTGCAGACTGCCAGAAATAGTGTAAATTGAGGCCACTTTAACTGTCCTGGCTCAGTGCTAAGGAATCATGGAAACTGTAGTTTATTGTGGCACCAGAGCTCTCTGGCAGAGAAGGCTCAATGTCCCAGGAAAAAAAAAAATACAATTCCCATGATTCTCTAGCACTGAGCCAGGACAGTTAAAGTGGCCTCAAGCTGCACTATTTCTGGTAGTCTGTAAAGGCTCTTAGTTTTCAGTGTATTTCCACCATTGCCTCCAGAATTCTTTATCTTCTCATAGATTTCTCTACACTTTCAATTTAACAAATATGGAAAGGGAGCATAATGATTTCTACTCTGCCCTATGAGTAATGGCTGCATGTGTGTTTTACCACAATGACCTTTTCAGTATGTTGCACTTTGATTTGCTGTCTGCTGTTTCTATTCCACAACGTTGTCGTCCTCACCTAAGGGGGAGGAGTACAGTGACAAGCCAATCAAATGACAGAATACTGAAAAGGTCAAAGCGCTAGTAAAGCATGCTAATGAAATTCACCTGATAAAAGTAAAAGAGGACATTGTAATAATTGCAGTGTTCAGAGCAAAGCTTTCCAAGAAATCATAAGATATCAGAGCAGATGCTTTAAAACACCTAAAAACTACCTGAAAACATATGGTGATTCAATAAAGGCAGCAAAAAAAGGCCTTTTTGACTAAAACTATTGGAGCTGCACAGAATTGCTCAGCTGAGCTGTTTTGAGTGGTCAGGGATCTGTTATGATCTGGTCCTGCAGAGAATGTATGCCACTCAACAGCTCACTGTGAAGAATTTGCCCACCATTTTGCTGGTAAAATCACTCAGATTCACTCTGACTTAGACACCAGAGTTGATACAGTTTTGGTGGATGTAACCTTGGCTCCTGCTTATCCACCATTGATGGATACTTTTCAATTTGTGCAGCCCGAGGATGTGGACAGGATCCTTGGAAAAGTGAGAGTCACCGCATGTATACTAGACCCTTGCTTTTTCTGGCTTATTAAACAGGACAAAGGAGGACTGGTGGAGTAGATAAGGAAAGTGATTAATGCCTCTTTACAGGAAGGCAAGGTCCCAACACACCTGAAGGAGGCTGTGGCAAGACCTCTTTAGAAGAAAGAAAAAAACAACCTTCCCTGGATCCTACTTTACTAGATAATTACAAGCCAGTCTCCAATCTTCCATTTTTGGGCAAGGTGCTGGAGCGTGTGGTGGCTTCCCAACTTCAGGTGTTTCTTGATGAAATCAATTATCTAGACCCATGTCAGTCTGTTTTTGGGCCTGGTTATGGGACAGAACAGCTTTGGTCACCTTGGTGGATTCCCTACACAGAGAACTGGACAGGGGGAATTGGACCTGTTGGTTTTGCTGGACCTCTTAGTGGCTTTCGATACCATCAATCATGGTATCATTCTGAGTTGCCTCTCTGGGATGGGGCTTTGCAATACTGTTCTACAGTGGCTCCGTTCTTTCCTGGAGGGGTGCTCTCAGAAGGTGGTGCTGGGGGATTCCTGTCCGATTCCTTGGCCATTGGCCTGTGGGGTCCCCCAGGATTCAGTCCTGTCCCCTATGCTTTTTAACATCTACATGCTGGGAGAGGTCGTCTGGAATTTTGGAGTAAGATGTCACCTGTATGCTGATGATACCCAACTCTACCACTCCTTTCTACCTAATTCCAAGGAATCTGTTTCTGTCCTAAACTGGTGTCTGGATGCTGTAATGGACTGGATGAGGGCAAACAAATTGAGGCTTAATCCAGACAAGACAGAGGTGCTCTTGGTCAGTCAAAAGACAGATCTGAGAATAAAGATTCAGCCTGTTTTAGATGGGATTACACTCCCCCTGAAAACTCAGGTTCATAATTTGGGGGTACTTCTGGATTCAGCACTGAGCCTGGAAGAGCAGGTAGCAGAGATGACCAGGATTGCTTTTGCACAGCAAAAATTTGTGTGCCAGCTGCACCCTTTCCTGGAGAAGTCAGATCTGGCCACCGTGGTACATGCCTTGGTTACATCCCGTCTGGATTACTGTAATGCACTCAATGTAGGGCTGCCTTTGAAAAGTGCTCAGAAACTAAGCTGATCCAAAGAGTTGCAGCCAGGCTGTTAATTGGAGCTGGCTACAGGGAACATACAACTCCCTTGTTGCAACAGCTCCATTGTCTGCCAGTCCATTTCCGGGCACAGTTCAAAGTGCTGGTTTTGACCTATAAAGTCCTATATGGCTTGGGTCCAGGCTATTTGAAGGACTGTATGTCCCTGTATGAGCTCCCCAGAGCACTGAGATCCTCCAGAGAGGCCCTTTTCTCTGTTCCACCACCCCCTCAGGCTTGTTTGTGGGAACAAGAGAGAGGGACTTCTCTGTAGCTGCTTCCAAACTCTGGAACTCCCTTTCTAGAGAGGCCAAGATGGCTCTATCTTTGGGCCTCGGCAGACGACTAATAGAGTCATCTTGGAGGCCCCGAAGAGGAGGGGCAGCCACACGAGCGGCGCCCCTTCCTCTTCCTGAGGTCGCCCTGGAAGCTGCCGGCCCTCCGCACGGCCGGCGCTTCCAAGGCAACCTCCCTCCGCAGCGACCGGACGCGCTGCGGAGGAAAAGACAGGGAAAGTGCACCCGCCGCTTTTAGGGCACACTTTCCCTGTCTTGAGGAAGGAGCGCTGATTTAGCGCTCCTTCCAGAGCCACCGCAGGAGCGCCGGGATGCGGAGGCTGCATCCCCGCGGCGCTCCGTCTGGCGGCGGCTCCAGGGCCTCCGTCTGCTGAGGCCCTTTGTTTTCTTTTCAATAGCAAATAAAAATGTTTTTATGCTGCCAGGGCTTCAAATATTGATATGGGTCCTGTTTGGTTTTTTGCTTTGAAGAGTTTAATTTTTTTTAAATTTTAATAATGTCGTGTGTTTAATTGTTTTGTTTAATTGTTTTTTAAACTTTACATTGTTAATTTTGTTATACTGGTTTAATTAGGGCCGATGCAGATGGCCCAAAAGGGGCAGCACAGAGCCACCCCTGGGAGCGGAAGATTGGGGCTGCAGCAACCACACACCATGGCCCCAATTCTGCTTTTTGTCACCCCCAAAAGAGCGGCAAAATGCCGCCCCTAGAGCCAGTGCCATGGCTCTTTTGCACCCTTTTGGCACAGCATGTGTGCACGCTGTGCCAAGAGGGCATCCTGATGCCGTGTGCTGTGCAGAAGGGCATGTGGCATCAGGACGGCATTGGGGTGGAGTCGGGGCAGCCGGCATGTGGCTGTCCCACCCCAACTCCACCCCCTTTGTGCCAGTCTGCATCAACCCTTAGACTTTTAATTTGTTAGCCACCTTGAATCCTGTAATGGGAGGAAGGTAGGATATAAATAATCATAATCATAATCATAACCATAATCACAGTGCAATACTAAAAATCTCTGTGTGTGTGTGTGTGTGTGTGTGTGTGTGTGTGTGTGTGTGACAAAC